TGGCCCGTTTTTGTATTTGATACTCTTTGTGTCATAATTCAAGTAGAAGCTAAATGTTGACCATTGGTAATTAGTTTTATTCATTTTTTTATTTGCAAGGATGAAAGACTCTGTTTAGTTTCTATTTGACTTATTCTTCAACTTTTGTGCTTGTATTTCTCCCCATCCCCAATTTCTCCATCTGCATTACTTTGGTTTAATGTAGAGTTGAGAGAAAAAGCGTTCATAAATGCAATAAACATTTATTAAAAATTTATCAGCCGGGCTTGGTGGCTCAGCTTGTAATCCCACGCCTTGGGAGGCTGAGGCGAGTGGATTGCCTGAGCCCGCGGGTTCGAGACCCGCCTGGGCGGCGAGACCTCATCTCTACAATAAAATAAAAAAAAAATCAGCCGGGCATGGTAGTGCATGCCTGTAATTCCGGCTACTTGGAAGGCTGAGGTGGAAGGATCGCCAGAGCCCAGCAGGCTCAAGTGGCGAGTGAGACTCCAACTCAAAAAAAAAAGAAAAAAAATTTATCTATGTCAAGTAGTACATGAGGAGTTAAACATACCCTGTGCTCATGGACCTTATAGTTCATGAATTCATAGATAAAAGTTTCAGTTCACTAAGAATAACTGTAGACTGCACCCTCCTTGCTTAGTGTCTGACTTGAGTAGTTTAAAGTAGCCACAATAGACAAAGAAAATAAATATTCTGTTCTGCCTTAGAAATACTGTTTGCTTGTTTGTTTTTTTCCTTCCAAATCATGATTTTGAAGATCTTTCAGGGGCTGGGCATGGTGGCTTATGCCTGTCATCCCCAGTGCCTCAGGAGGCCAAGGTGGGAAGATAACTTGAGCCCAGAAGGTTGAGGCTGCAGTGAGCAATGATTATGCCACTGCACTTGAGCCTGGTGACAAAGCAAGGCCCAGTCTTTAAAAAAATATAAATAGCCTGGTGGGGTGACTCAAGCCTGTCATCCTAGCAGTTTGGGAATGAGAGAATTGCTTAAGCCCACAGGTTCAAGACCAGCCTGGGCAACTTAGTGAGACCTCATCTCTACAATAAATGAATGAATGAGTAAGTCGGCTGTGGTAGCGTATGCCTATAATTCCAGCTACTTGGAAGGTGGAGGCAGAAGGGTTGCCTGAGCCCAGCAGGTCGACACTGGAGTGGCCATGAATGTGCCATTGCACTCTAGCTTGGGCAATGGAGTGAGACTCCAACTCAAAAAAAAAAAAAAAATATATATATATATAGATATATATATATAAAAGAAAATGAGATTAGAAATGTCTTTTAAAACCTAAAGGTTTTGTTACCCATCTATTTTCAGAACCCTTTTGAACTTTTGATCAACTCACACTGTTCATTAATAAACATAATTGTTTATCCAGCCACACTTCAGTAATTGCTAGGATGATCTTTTCTATTTAAGATAATGGGTTAAATTCTTTGAGATAAAGGAATTGTAGTCTGACACTACAGAATGCCTGATCCAAACCTGAGGATGAAGCAAATAAATCTCTAGTGAGCTTTGTTCCTGGCATTAAGCCCTTCGCTGTTCCACAGACAGAGCTCAGGCAACAGTCCAGTGAGGGCATCTAGCAGGCAGCAACTTTTCTATAGGGACCAGTTGAGTCATTCCCTGAGCAACTATAATCCATGGTCCCTGGGTGTTCACTTCCATGAGGGCAAATCTTATCTGGGATGTGTTACAGTCTAATCATATGCCACATTCAAAATTTGGATATTTGGTAAGAAGCCAAGAGTGACCATGATGAAAAGATATAATTTTCTTCATCCATTTTACTGTAACCAGAATTCTACCAATGCCAGGAAAGAATTGTACAACATTTCTTGACCACTGTTAGCAGGGGCTGAAAACCTGTGCAAAAATGTATTTATCTCTTGGTTTTAGTCATTGATATTCTTTCTAATCTTTATTCAACTTAGCTTTTCCAAAGAGTTTATAAATAAATTTCTTTCTCATAAATTGAGAGAATGCAAACTGATAAAAGAAATAACTTAATTTTGAGGAGATATTTATTACAGAGTTCTTTAGAAAAACTGGTCTCAGAAAAATAACCTGCACTTGAGTGTGACTGTTTGACTAAGCTATCACAAATTACTTGGGTAAAGGATTTGTTTTGAGTTTAAACTAAAGAAAGCCATTTATTTATGTTTTATCAGTGAACATTTTGTAAGCCTCTACTGTGTACAGAGCAATGTACTAAAACAAGGAATACAGAGAAAACATAAGGGACAATTTCTAACCCCAGTGGAGATTCTGTCTAAAGCACTGAATTCTACACATGGAAGCATTTGCAAAGCAGAACAGTCTGTTCAGTGGATTCAGAGAATCTACACTTAAAGAGACTTGAAGCAAATATTAGTCACTTTCTAGGCTTGGGAAATTCCCTCAAAGACAGTAACACTCTCTTTAACTTGGCTAAATAAGAACTGCTATCAGAAATATTGACTGGTCTGGTAGGGCATGGTAGCTTATGCCTGTAATTCTAGCACTTTGGGAGGCTGAGGCGGGAAAATTGTTTGAGCCTAGGAGTTTGAGATCAGCCTAGGCAACATAGCGAGATCTTGTCTCTACATAAAACTAATAAAAATTAGCCAGGCATGGTGGCCCATGCTTGCAGTCCCAGCTTCTCAGGAGGCTGAGGAGAGGAGGAAGAATCACCTGAGCCCGGGAGGTCGAGGCTATGGTGACCTGTGATTGTGCCACTGCACTCTAGCCTAGGCAAGAGAGTAAGACTCCAACTTGAAAAGGAAAGAAAAGAAAGTTTTAAAAAAGAAGGAAGGAAAGAAAGAAAGAGAAAAGGAAATACAGACTTTTCAGAGAAGAGAATAATTTACAACAAACCAAGGGCATTCATTAGGGAAAATGGAATGTAATATGCCTTTGGTACTTCTTGTCACCTGGGCTACAACAAGAGTCCAGCAGGGTCAAGCCACTGAATCTCCAGGCTAAGAAATTCAGAGGCCTGAAAAACATCTTTGTTGGCACATTCTGGCTAGTTGTTGCCTTGAACACTTAAGTTACATTAATATTCTTGAAGAGTTTGCACATGTAATAACATTATGTAGGACAATGCAGTTCAACAGCAAATGATTGCTTTCCAGTTCTGCATGTTTTCAGGAGAGAAAAGTTTCTAGAAATTCTACTGTCTTTGGACTGCATGCCATCATGATATTATTGAGGATCATGATCCACTGCACTTCTTCCTCTATAGGATTTATTTCTGTATTGGTTGGTGACAGTAAATTTCCTTTCATCGGTCACTTTGATTCCTTTTTAGAAAAAGGGAGAAGCCAGGCTCAGTGGCTCACCGAGTGGTGAGAGTGGTTTGGGAGGCTGAGGTGAGTGGATTGCCTAAGTCCGCGGGTTCGAGACCCGCCTGGGCGACTTGGCGAGACCTCATCTCTATAATAAATCAAAAGATTAGCCAGGCGTGGTAGCGCGCGCCTGTAGTTTCAGCTACTTGGAAGGCTGAGGCAGAAGGATCGCCGGAGCCCAGCAGGTCGAGGCTGCGGTGACCGGGAGCGGCCACTGCATTCCAGTCTGGGTGACAGAGTGAGACTCCAACTCAAAAAAAAAATGAAAAAGAGAGAAATACAAACCAATAAATAATCATTTTATTTGCCCTCATTTGGGTCAACAATTTTAACTGGTCAACTTAGATTAGCTCCTTTTATGCCAAGTTATCGATAAGCTGAGATTACATTATCACATAGTTAGGCCATAAAATATGGTATTTAACAAGATTTTAAGAAAGCACCACAACTAGCAGAGATTAGGGAAAATGGAATGTAATATGCCTTTGGGTATATTACATTGAAACTCCAGAGTTTATTTTATTACACACAAAGAAATATCCTCTTAGGAAAGGACATTTTTTTAATTTCATTTCCTTTTGTGGCCTGCTTAACCAATTGATGTTTGTTCACAGACATAATTTGAGGAGAATAAACCAGGCAGCACACCAGAAAAATTTTAGTGAACTATACTTTTCACTTGAGCCCTGCCGTTAGCTTTTCGTGTCATCAGTAATGAACTTTAATGAAGAAAGACTTTTAGAAGGAGAAAGATTGCTACTGGGACCTGCTTTGACTCAACTGATCAGCTGTTGCATCTGTAGATTTTTCTATTGACTTTAACACCTAGAAACCTGAAACTCATCCTAGACTTCTCCCTTGCAACTCTGTCACATCCTGTAGTTTGCAACCTGTAAGTCGTTTACATCCCTCAATCCATTTCCATTCACATGGAACATTAAAATCACTTCTAAATAAAATGGAATAAAATAAAAAATAAAAGTCACCGCTAACCTGGAGTAAAAGCAAAATAAAAACACCTCTGAACATGTGGTTTCTGGCATTTTCCCCTGTCCAGTCCACTTTTCAGTTGCTATCAGAAAGACACATCATTTTAAGTTATTCAGCTCACATCACCACCGCCCTTTCAAGAGTCTTGCTATACTTCTTGATTGTTTACAAAATGAAAACCATGGCACCTACTTCTGCTTACCACTCTAGCCCTAGTGCCTGCCTCAGTGCCAGAAACACAGTAAGCGCTCAGTGGGTATTTGTCGATATATCTGAGGCCTTCATGTCCATGACCAGACTCTTACCTATCACTCTGGCCATGTCTGCTGCTTCCCTCAAGTCATGTTCATCAATCACAGTTTCCCCAAATTCATTTTTGCTCTCTCTTGCCTTCAAGCTTTTGCCCAGGCCATACTTTTGGTCTGGAATGCCGAACCTGCTCGGATCACACCCTACCTTCTCTCACCAAATCCATCTGGAAAAATGTGGGGTCTCTCTCTCACACAAGAAGACTGCTGCAGTCTTCTCTCAACACAGCCCGTGGCCTCTCACCAGTCCACAAAATCCTCAATTTCCTGTAAGACTATAAAGAGGCTCAAGGCTGGGCTGGGATTAGAACACATCGGGTTTCAGATTCAGGGGGCCCAAGGCTCGTGATGGTCTTAAGCAAGTACTGGCTTAGGACTTGGGCTCAGCTTTCAGTGGTGGTCCTGGTATGATTTCATCCTCAACCACAGGTAAAACAGGTGTTTTGGGGCTAGCTGGGGCACCTAACGGTTAATGATCCATACACCTCAATAAAGTTGAAATTTTAAAAATTATTCACTGTTCCTATAGGGTAAAATGTTTTAATGTTTATTTTAGTTAGTTATTAAATAAGAAAATGCTCATTAAACAAGAAAATGTGTGCCCGGGAGTGGAGGCTCATGCCTGTAATCCCAGCACTTTGGGAGACTGAGGCCGGTTGGATTGCTTGAGCCCAGGAGTTCAAGACCAGCCTAGACAGCATAGTGAGACCTCGTCTCAATCAAAAAAAAAAGGCAAAAAAAACCCAAAAAGAAAAAACAAAAAAGAAGAAGAAGAAGAAAAAGAAAGAAAGAAAACGTGTGACTGCGGTTTTGTAAATACACGACCCAGTTGTTCAGGAACATAATTTGTGAAGTTCAAAGAGTGAAAGCATTTCATCTGCATCCCTTGCCTCATATTATTGGTAGAGAACATAATTTCAAAAACGGATGAGGAAAAGAGAAAAGTATTGGGTATATTTTTTGCAGCTGTATTCACAATAGCAAAAACATGGAACCAACCATGCTGCCCATCGAAGCTGGACTGGATAAAAATAATGTGGCACATATACACAATGGAATATTATGTAGCCATAAAGAAGGACAAACATATGGACTTCGCAGCAACTTGGATGGATTTAGAGTTGATCATACTCAGTGATCTATCACAGAAACAAAGAAGAGAGTACCATACATTTTCATTCGTAAGCGGACCTTGAACAATTGTCATAATACTATAAGAAAGGGATTGGTAGTAGTGGGAAACTGCCGGGGGTTGGGGGGAGGGGTGGGATTGGCAGCTGAAGGAACTGCTAGGGGAGGGAAGGGCATACCTCATCAAGAGGGGTAGCTGCATGATAAATGTTTGTATACCGGACCCTGAATTGTACCCCACATCTTTATAATTGAAAAAAAAGAAAAAAAAAGAAAAGTATTGAAAACTAAAGATGGCTCATAGTTCATGTGTACATCTTAAAATGTAATACAGCTCTTCGGCTAATTTAAAATATCACTGAAGTGAGATGACACTCCCTAAATATTTTATCATTAAGATGCCATAAGATTTTTTACACATATATGATCACATTTTCCATTTAATTACTGATCAAATGGACTAGTTGAAATGACTAAGATCCTTGCCATAAACCAGAAGAATTTGTGCAATTACAGCAAGCAGGCCTGTACTATCTTTCTCTTAACTTTCCAAACTGCTCTTGGGTTTAAAAATGAAGACTTACTTGAATAGAGCTTTCCTTTTTGTTGTGGTTAATACAGAAACCACACAGGATCTAGTCCTGGCACTGTAAACCTTTGAACACTACATCTATGAAATTCTGTTGTCCTTTTAAATTTTCAGTAACATTTCTTTTTGCTATATTTATCACATTTTCCAAAATATGAAAAATGCTCTTTTTATTTTAAATGTTGACTACATGTGAAAAATTAACTCTGTTTCTATTACTTCAAACTATTCCTTTATTAGCAACAGTTGTGCAGTGCTGTCAAGAAGAATTTTAAAACTAAAGTACCAAATTTGGAGAGTAGACACATCTGTTTTACTTTGCAGTTTGTTTTATTGTTTTATTTCTTAGGATATGAATTCACAACTATCTTATAACTGAAAACTAAAGAAAAAACATATGTTGGTAAATCAGATTTCTGCATTTTTTTCATTCAAGGGAAGTTGCCTCCCTTAGCTCTCTGCCAATAAGTAATAAATGGACTTGGCAAAAAGTTTATTTAACTTGGCTTTATTAAGCTAACAAAATACAGAAATCAAGTAAGGGACAGGCAGAAAAATCTGTTCCTTTGAAGTCAATAAAAATCCATCTCCTTAATCCTTTTTTTATTCCAAGCAGTGGTGATTTTTCTCAACTGACTCACTGAGAACCTTGATTTAGCTAATCTGTCTTGCTTAGTTATCTTTCTTCTCCAAAGCTTTCCTAAAGAAGCATCCTTTCCCCTTGACAACTGTCATCTTTTATACTTGCATAGTGGTGCATCTGGTTATAAACATTCTCTAGTTAATCCCGAAAGAGATTTAAATACAGGTTTTTAATTACTATTCATGTTTTAGAATAATAAAAACAGCAGTAAGAAGCAAGTTGAAACAAAAGGCATAGAGAAATGCTCAATGGCAGAAAGATGGCTAAAATTTGATGCCATACATTTTTCCTAAGCTATCTCCTTTCAGCCTCTGTCATAGCTTTATTTGACTGTTGTTTATCTGTCCATTATGGAAGAAAATTCAGTGCTCTAACTGAATAAATCATTGTCTGCACCCCAACTTATCCACTAAAGGGCTATGAATCATACAGAAATATACATGAAAATATATTCATGTTTGAAGAGTTCATGATTTGAAAGGAAGGGTATTATTGTCATAGAATAAAAACATGATTGACTTCAAGACACTCACACATCAGCATCATTTAGTAATCTTTGGTTGTACATAGTATGAGAAAATGATTTCTTACCTAAACTAAAGAGCACCAAGAATTTCAGACACACGAACTCTCGTTGATCAAACTGGAGAGAACGAAGTTTTGCTACTAGATCCTGTGCATGACTCATGAGGTTGTTGAGAGTGGCTCCAGCTTGGGATGCTATTATGGAATAGTCCACCTGCAACACAGAATCAGTTTTAAGGACTATCCGAATCAGAAATGTATATTTCACTTCAGATTGCTAAGGATTGTGGGTAAAATCAGATTGCAGATTTATAGCAGAGGGGACATTCCCTATGAAAGTAGTTTGAGACACATTCTACTATTATAAAATGCATCACAATTACTCTGATAAAGTGAATCATTTTGATAAGCATTGTAGGAAACACGTTTTAACTATCTAAAATTTACAAATATATATATCTTTTTTCACATAAGATAAAAACAAAATTTTAACACTCATAAATATGTTGAGAGAAAAATACACTGTCCATACAAAGTGACTCCCAGGCCAGTGTTCTATGTGTGTACAATGATATTACCTAGTAAAGAGGAAGACAAAGGCAGAGATACTTTTCTACTTGTATGACACTACATCTTAAAGTAATCTAGGCACATGCCTGTAGTCCCAGCTACTCAGGAGGCTGAGGCAGAAAGATCTCACCTAAGCCCAAGAGGTCTAGGCTGCAGTGAGTGTGATTATACCACAGCACTCCAGCCTGAGTGACAGAGTAGGACTCTGACATTCTCTCTCTGTCTCTCTATCATCTATGTATCTATTCTTTAGTTTGCTGCTCCTAAAAATCATGACATTAAGCTGCTATTTTCAGATGATCATATTAGATTACATGAGATGAATACATTTCCCTCTAAAGACAGCAATAACATCTTATTTATAAGAATAATTTCTTGGTCTAGAAAGCAAAAAAAGAAAAGGTTTATTTCCCTATTCATTAAAAAAAGAAGTGCTGCTAGGCACAAGTAAGTCTTAGATTATTTATGGGGACATAAGAAGTGTGATGTGTAATAAGTTAAGATGTTGGAATGACTGCCAGTGATTGCACTGGCTTGGCTGCTGCGATCACAGCATAATGGGAAAGCCCGGTTGGTACCTGATGCTCCCATTCTTTTTTTTCTAACTGGAGAGCTCTCAGGCAACCAGATACTCTTTTAGGTGCATTTAATATTTGCAGCAGCAGCAAATTTGTCTGGGAGGCAAGTCCTCATCTGCCACTCACCCAGAGCAGACTGTATTAAATTTTTATATTTATTGACATTTCATTACCATAATTGACTGCACTTGCTTCTCTAGGAGAAGGCACAGGGCTGCCTCCTAAGCAGGAGAACTAGTCCCTTGAGTAGAATTTGCAATTAAAAACAAGGCAGAATGGATTTTTTTTTATTGTGTAAATATGATGAGTTGAATTTTCAGCTTTAACTAGAGAATACTGAGTGTACAGAAACCTTTTTCAAGAGTGAGAAAAATTATGAGTCAGTGGAAAGACGACCCCCAAAGGTGTCAATCAGTTTATAGAGAGTCAACTATGCATGAAAAAGCCACAGTTAATGTGTGTTCGAAGAAGCCTCTAGCATCAAGCACAACGCCATCCTACCTGCTTTATCCATTTGCTGGCATCTGCCCACTAAATTTAAACATCAAGCTCCTTTGGTTTCTGTTTCAGGGTGTGTAAAAGAAAGAATCAGAACACGGGGCAATCTGAACCCCGGGCGGGAGTTAGGCTGGACACTGTTGAACTCATGGGATTCTTTGCCTAGCACACAAAGCGATGACCCAATGACTATTTTGCCGGTTTTCTTACACGATAACTTCCTACCTCAAGGAAGTTCTAACTTCAAAAAGGGGCCTCTGCTCTAAATTCTTTAAAAACTGCACATAGCCAACTAGTTCAGATCATAATATAAATGGACCAATGAGTGAATGAGAGCAGGACGGTCAGTGGGACAGCAGAGGTGGAAGAAGCCTGGGACAAGAGAGGAGCTTTAAACCAAGGTTGCCCCTTACAGATGAAGAGCCTGGGGCAAGTCAGAGAAAATCTCTACCCCTTGGGGTCATCATCTTTAAGTAAGGTAGTTAGGCTAGATGATGTTAATAAGGTACCTCCCACTTCTGTGTCTATCAAGAAATAATCATAGATGGGCCAATACTAATACTTTAAGTATGGGATTAATTGAGTGCACTGCAGCTGTAGCTTAATATATATGTAGTACAATTAATTAATTTTTTTTTTTTTTTGAGTTGGAGTATCACTCTGTCACCCAGACTGGAGTGCAGTGGCCGCTCCCGGCCACCACAGCCTTGACCTGCTGGGCTCCGGTGACCCTTCTGCCTCAGCCTTCCAGGTAGCAGGAACTACAGGTGCGCGCTACCACACCCGGCTTTTTTTTTTTTTTTAATTGTAGAGATGAGGTCTCACCAAGTTGCCCAGGTGGGTCTCGAACCCGTGGGCTCAGGCAATCCACTCACCTCAGCCTCCCAAAGGCGCGGGATGACAGGCTGAGCCACCGAGCCCGGCTAGTACAATTAACTTTTAAAAATCACTGAAAATTCATTTCAATACTATCTATGGGTGTCCTGGGCTGCTGTTTGCAGGAAGACTATCTTAGTGACTCTGGCTCTGAATGAACTATGACAGGATTCAATTCTTTAAACATTGAGCAAACTTGATAGCCACTGGGCTTAACACAAAAGGTGTGCACTTTTATCTAACTTTTTTCTAAAGTAAAGCACAAGTACAGTGGTATTAGTTTTGTATTATTAAGATGGATTTAGTTAAATTTCAACTTGTGTGGTTCTAACACGTGTGCAATGATAAATTCAAATACTAGCATTTTATACTTGAATATGTAGTTACACTATAATTTGAAAGGAATCTAAATTGATTCATAGGATTATATATTTAGTGAGATACCTTTAGTGAGTGGACCTCAAATCAATTGACTTACCAACAACTTTATAGCTATATATGTATTTACATGCTAATTTGAAAACTCAAACATGCTTATTAAATGGGGGCTCTGCAGCTACTTGGGAGGCTGGGGCAGAAGGATCGCCTGAGCCTAGGATGCTTAGGCTGCAGTAAGCTGTGATTGTGCCACTGCATTCCAGTCTCAGTGACAGAGTGAATCCTGACTCGAATGAATGAATGAATGAATAGGGGCTCTGATAACATTTCATTCAAGGATAATTTATCCAATTGCACAGCTCTGAAGAAGGTTGGTGATTTATTCCTGAAATTGCACACAGATCTGCAACTTCCTTACATTTGATTATGAACATAATTATATTTTCATTGTTGAATGCAGAGTTCGTGCTCATTTCAGGAGCAGCTGGCCTTGTCTTTTATGTACTTAGTAAAATTAATTTATTGTTCTTACATGTAATCTTTGTGCCATTAAATTCAAAGGAGATATTGAAGAAATACATATGTATACTGATGTCCCCTTTGGATACATTTCACTCACCATGAAAATAGAAACAATTTGAACTAAACTGCTTTTATCTAATCACCAAAATTTTGATGACTTGTATACCGTAAGATGTCTGTCATTTTAATATGATACACAATAATAGAAGATAATAAGTTGCCAGTAAACCTTTCCCTTAGGATGATGTTACAGTGGCTGTTAATTAGCTACAATATGCAAATACAAAAACCTGACTCCAAAGCGCACAATTACTTTACACACATGCATGTGTGTATATACATGTATATTTTTAAAGATATTGGCTATAAAAGAATTGTTTTGTAAATATAAGATGCTACTGTATAGAATTAATTTGACAGTGCTTAATATTAACGATACTCATTTCCTTTTTGCTTAATAAGGCTATTTAATGTACACTTCTATAGATGTCTGATGCAAAGACATAATGAAAACATAATGGCTAACTTTAGGGTTAAGAGAAACACTGAATCTTCATTTAAGTACTATCTGTTGGTGTCCTGGGCTACTCTTTACAGTGAGACTATCTTAGCTACTCTAGTTCTAAGTGAACTATGAGGAGGTTCAATTCTGCAAACATTGAGCAAACTTGCTAACCACTGGGCTTAAGAGAAAGAGGCTGTGCTATTTTACCTAACTTTCCTCTCTCTTCAAGCTCCAAGTAACAGTTTCCTGGGCACTCCCTTATTTTTTAGATCCAGGCTAGTCTTCTTTCTCTTCAGCTGTGGCAAACTCACATTATTTGTGGTGAGCTGCATTCAGTAGGAAAAAGTCAGAATACTGGGCCATGGGGCACTCAGGGTCTTGCATTTCTCAGTTTGTCCAGAGGGTTGCTATAAATCAATAAGTGGACACCACCAATGTGCTTTCAAGGTGATACAACATCGCTGTCCAGGGTTCCCTTTTGTGTCGGGACTTCGGCCCTGGAATTATAGACGGAGGCACTTTTAATGCTACTGTTTGCTGATCCTAAAATATTCAGAAACCACATTTTCATTTGTTCCAGATCATCACAGGACAATCGAGAAAAAAACTATAAGGAAACCTGGCTATTTATGTATTTATTTATTTTTTAAATTTATTTATTTTTATTTTTTTGAGTTGGAGTCTCACTCTGTCCCCAGACTAGAGTGCAGTGGCCGCTCCCGGCCACCACAGCCTCGACCCACTGGGCTCCGGCGATCCTTCCGCCTCAGCCTTCCGAGTAGCCGGAACTACAGGCATGCGCTCCCACGCCCGGCTGATTTTTTGATTTATTGTAGAGATGAGGTCTCGCTGCCCAGGCCATCGAGGTCTCGAACCTGCGGGCTCAGGCCATCCACTCACCTCAGCCTCCCAAAGGCGCGGGATTACAGGCTGAGCCACCGAGCCTGGCTGAAACCTGGCAATTTATAAGTGAATTGGGGGTACTCTACTTCTTCTGGCTAAGGCTGGAAAGGGGGTGAGGCTTAAAATCTTTTCCAGCAATTCCCTGCCACTGTTCCTCTGACCCTGGAAGGATTTTGAGCAAGGGTGCCTGTCTCGATTACAAGTTAAAGATCCAATACCCTCACTTTAGGGGTAAGACACTTCCTTATAGAAGCTGAATCACTGGGACAGCTTTGAACGCCCACCTCATTTCCCTGGCATTTCCTCCTGTGAAGTTTCCCTGCACCTTCTGTGACCCTGAGTCATGGGCTCACCTGTGAACGTGCCTGGTGCACCACACTATGCAAAGGGCAGTTATTATAGTCATTGCTTAGGAGATGAATAAGCTTGCCCTCATTCATCAGGCCCGTCAGAAACATTTTTTTTAACTAAACCTAATAATAATAATAATAATGAGTATTTCCTTTAGGTGAGTGTCAACCTGCCTGTAGGGGAATTTTTCATACTTTATTGGAACGATGCCATTTAATTTGTTCCCATAATATCAGCCACATGGACTTGATACAGTGCATTATGAAAACACACTTCTATCATTGTTTTAAAGTTCACATTCCCTGTAATCCCGCGCCTTGGGAGGCTGAGGTGAGTGGATCGCCAGAGCCCGCGGGTTCGAGACCCGCCTGGGCAACTTGGTGAGACCTCATCTCTGCAACAAATCAAAAATTAGCCAGGCGTGGTAGCGCACGCCTGTAGTTCCGGCTACATGGAAGGCTGAGGCAGAAGGATCGCCGGAGTCCAGCAGGTCGAGGCTGCAGTGGCCGAGAGCGGCCACTGCACCCCAGTCTGGGCAACAGAGTGAGACTTCAACTCAGGAAAAAAAAAAAAAAAAAAAAAAAAGTTCACATTCCACACTAATCCATGGTAGTAGGTCACCATATCCCAGGGGCAGGTGAGTTATGTGTTTAGAAACATAAGAAAAATCTTTATTTAAAATATACATTTTCTCTAGAGGTTGAACAATAACTCAGCAAAAACAGTTAATTTAGGTGATAGCATGATGACTGATTTTTTTTTTTATTTCTAGTTTTTGTGAAGGTAGAAATAATTTTATAACAGTAAATTATAGTCATATGAAAATTGTTCCTGGACAACTAAAATTTACCTTTACAATGTGTTTGCAATGCCATATTAAAAATCCCCCTGGCTGGGTGTGGTGGCTCATGTCCGTAAACCCAACACTTTGGGAGACCGAGGCAGAAGGATTGCTTGAGCCTAGGAGTTCAAGACCAGTCTGAGCAACACAATGAGACTTTGTCTCTACAAAAATAAAAAATAAAAAATAGCTGGGCTTGGTAGCACATGCTTATAGTTCCAGCTACTTGGGAGGCTAGGCAGAAGGATCACATGATCCCAGAAAGACCATGTAGTGAGCTGTGATCATGCCACTGCATTCCAGCCTGGGCCACAGAGTGAGACCCCAACTCAAAAAAAATAAAAATCCCCCACAAAACAGACAAAAAACCCCACAAAAACGTCTATGCATTTAATATCAATACAGAGAAATGGATGTTTTGCTTGGACATTCCATAGAGATCACCATGCACTGGAATTACATGTGAAGATTAAATTAGATGCTAGCAGTTAAGGCGAGCTCCATGGTATCTGTGAGTTATCCAGAAAAGCAGTATGGTGTGTTGGTGAGAACACAAACTCTGGCACAGCCTGCTTTGATCTGCCTATCTGTTCTGTCACTTATTAGTTATATTTTGACCTTGAAATAACAACTTCACCTTTCTTTGTCTGTTTCTCATCCACAAAAGGGGGATAATAATAACAAAAACACTTTCTTCATAGGGTTGTTGACTCCATAAATTGTCACCTTTGTGTCAGTCTAGTTGTTTTTCTTTTTTTCTGAAATGAGGTCTCACCAAGTTGCCCAGGCTGGTCTCTCAAACCCATGGGCTCAGGTAATCCTCTCACCTTGGCCTCCCAAAGTGCTGGGATTATAGGCGTGAGCCACCGCACCCGGCCATGTCAGTCTACTTTTGATGACTTCTTAACATTTATGTCAGCACTTTACAGAGCTGTTTCCTATCATTCTTATTATAATTCTCTCAGTTGGATGCTATTATAATCCCCATTGGGCAGGTACAGACACTGAAACTCAAAAAGTAAAGGAAGTTGCTCAAAATGACATAGCCAGGGGATTTTGAAATGGGGACATGAACACAGATTGTTCCAACTCTAAACTACACTGTATGTGTGAATTTTACACATACATACATACACATCAATTTCCAAACCACAGAGCAAGCAGTCTATACTAGTAAAGAAACTACTCTACCCCGGTGCATTTGTTGTTAGACTATAAACATAACCAAGAACAGGCTGTCCTCTAGATCTTCTTTCTTCAGTGATTTTCACATTTTTTTTATAAATCAGTTTTTGTTCCAAAATAGTTTTACTCTTATTCTGAATATATCCTTTTTCATCATCAATGTTCTAACTACCTTCTTAAACTTGTTATATACCAAGTAATATTGTTGCTGTGTTAACAAAAATTTTGTTTTCCCACTCTTACACTCAGAAAAGTATTTGCCATTAAAAAAAATTATGCTTAACAATTTTTACTGTCTTCCTGGGCCACAGGATAGGAAGTAGTCTAAAGCACTAAAAGAGCAATTTATTGAGCTGCGTGCAGTGGGGTTCTCATAGTCCCAGCTATGTGGGAGGCTGAGGTGGGAGGATGGTTTGAATCCAGGAGTTTGAAGCTAGCCTGGGCAACATCATCTCTTGAAAAACAAGCAAACAGGTGATTTATTACTGGAAAACCATTGCTGGTATCTCAGTCCCGTGAGATTCTTGAAAGGTCCAAGAGAATATGGATGAGATGTGGGAACAGGGGAAGGATGACTACTCTGCGTGTTGAGACCCAGTTAATTTGTTCTAGTTAAGCCCTTCAGTTAGAGATGCCATAGTTTCCATTTAATCCAATCAGCTAATATTTATCGCGTCCCCAACACACTCAGCACTGTGAGGAGACAAAAGGAGCATAAGCGTATGCCTCTGCGTTAAAGTATCTTTCTCGGTCTGTTAGAGGCCATGTGCTTTTGAAAATTCTCTTTGTTGCACATTTGCTTTCATCCTATGAAACTGCAGGAAGCCCGGAGATAAATTCAAAATGTCTCGTCTAGCTAGTTCCTAAAAGAAAGTAAAGATGTCTACCCTTATTGCCATAAATGGAAATGCCCGATTACCACTCATTGTTATTAGGCTATTTACTTGGACTGGATGGAAAAGATCCAGGGAGGGTCTGGGACAGACCTGTGGCACACTTTAAAAGGGGGAGGGGGCCAGGGTGCAAGAACATCTCAGGAAATGACTGTCCACCAGGGAGTTCCTCGTTCCATCCTGATGGCAAAACAAAGACGATCAGACCATCAATTCCTCGGCTGTTCATGGTTTTGAAAATCAGACAGGCAAGAAATGTACTTTCTCTACTTTTTAAATAGTAATTACCTTTACCTGGAGGCAGCACTTAAGGCAAAATGAAATAAGGAGTATTTCTAAAGAGCAGGAATGAAAGTGCTTCGAGAAAGAACAGCACAAACCCATTTCATTTCTGAAACTCAGAAGGAAATGAAATCAAATTAATCCGTGGGCTGAATCTTGTACTTCTAATGCAGCTCCTAGGTAGGTGAAGGCGAGAGATATAACCAGTGACTACACTCTGAAAATGGGTACCTTTCCTTCAAAGACTAGGAACACAGGATGAAAATGCTAAACAAAAAATTGAAGGCACAGGAAGTCAAACCCCTTGAGACTTTATTTTCTCATCTCAAAAGCTTTTCTCATGAGAGGAGCAGAAAGCAGGGACTGGATAGTGATGGAGATGCTCGAATTGATCCAATCTGCAAAAACTCTGAAATAGTGCTGGCCTTTAAGTTGATTGGGAAAACGTGATTTATTAACAATACAGCAAATGATGTGGAGACAGCCTTTCATTTCCAAATATGCACTGCTGTGGTTTCACAGCACATAAACATTTATGACTGGACGTAAAAGATCACAGTGCCTGAGTGCTGAAGCCACCATCGCTGAACAATGTGGTGGTGTCTGGAATAGGGATGGTTCAGAGGATTGGAATAGGGATGGCGCTGTGTTCCATGCACTTATCTAATAACATATCAGTTATGTTATCTAATAACATATCAGTTGTAGAATGGAGGGTAAAGAACTGGAGGAACTCGTCTCAATCCTGTAAGTTGAAATTAGGTATAGGAAGTAGACTCTTTTCTAAGACATCCGCATAGCTGACTCTCTTCCTTTAAGTCATTGTTCAAATGTCACCATTTCAATAAGACCAAACCTACCATTCCTGTTGAACACTGCAACTCATGGGCCATGCTGCAGCACACACCCATGGGTGAGTGTCTGTTTCTCTGTATCTGGCTATTTCTTTTTATTTATTTTATTCAATAGCATTTTGACCTCTAGCGTATTATAGATTTGTTTATTAGGAGTATTCATGATCAGCTTCTGCCTGCTACAACATGAAGTTTCATGAGGGCAAGAATTTTTGTTTTGTTCATTAATACATGGCCAAAGTCCCGGAAAGGTGACTAGCACAGTAAAATGTTCAATCAATATTTGTTGATTGAACAAATATCTATTCAAAAACAAGTAGGACCTAATAGCACTTTTTTTCCTTTCTTTTGAATGACCGAAACTCCTGTCCCTTCTCACTTGTAGAATGGAGGGTAAAGGAACTGGAGGAACTTGCCTCAATTCTGTAAGTTGAAATTTATATGAACTATTATAATTCATATGCCTTTATATGAACTATTTCAATTATATGTGGCATTTGGATCAGTCTCTTCCACCAATATTGTTCCAAAATGGTAAGGCAATGTATAAGGTTTTTAAATAGCTGACAAAAAAGTGTGGTAAGATAATGCAGAAGCTCAAGGAAAAAAACCCCAGGTACTAATCATTGCTTTTGATTTAATAGTTGTTCGGACCCTTGTAAGCAGAACTTTCAATCCCAGTGGACTGGAAGCTGCAGAATGCTTGTGATTATGTTTGCTTTTACAAGTTTAACTATAATCATCAGAGCAGGAACAGAGTGCACCAAGTCATCTTTTCTCAATTATTTGTAGCAAATCTCTCCCTTTCAAAGCATAAGAGTGCTTCTGACCCAGTTAAATTCCTGTCATTCTGAACATGCTTAATAAAAGACACTTTTTTTTTGTCTCTACACTCACTTGTTGCCCAGTAACCAGGAAGATTGATCCTTCCTTCCCATGTACCACTTGTCGGTAAATGTGGTCGAGGATTAAGAGCTCACTCCAGCAGTTCTGAAGCAACTTCATTTGGTCATCAACCTGCAAAAGAAATTTTTAAAAGATGATACTGTTATTCGCCACTTTTTTGGTTTTGCCCAATTTTCTACATAGGTGGACAACCTACAAGCAAGGAACTCTCCACTAGTGGTCACTGAAACACAGATGCTTGGAATTTACATCCCTGCCCCCTGAAAATCATTATTTTCATTTGAACTAATACTTTTTAGGTCACATATAAATACTTTAGCTAAGTATTTATAATCAATGAACTGCTAGGAAAGGCACTCCATTACACACGTCTATCTAACGTGAGTAGAGCTATTAGAGTTCGGTTGTAGGAGGTACAGGCGCCGCAGACTGTCATCCGTAGACCCCATTAGAATAACCCCAAATTGTCCATGCTTGTATATCTAAAGGTTAATACAGTCCATTGAACTGAAGCTAAAATAGTATATAGATATTAGCCAACTGCCAAACCAAAAAGATTTACGTGAAAGAAAATTAGCTTTTTACCCCAAATGCCTTTTGGTGACAGGGGCACACATGGTCTTTATGTGTTATACACGTTAAAGTTTAAATTGTGCTAGACTCTGCAGAGGACATTCACCAAGCATAATCTCGATGACAACCTGAATTTGCTTTTATGATTTGGACATTTTCCCACAAACTCTCTAATCTTTAGTTTTCTTATCTGAATGATGGGTCAAGAACAGACTCTCCCTTACAGGATTGCTGTGAGGATTAAAATGAAGAGTGCTGTGCCGTTTTATGCATGGTCCCTCTTGCCTTTTAGGAAACTGCATTCTTCATTGATAAATATACATTCATCTCATGTACAGTTTACATATCTGTGACCTAAATATAGACAGAATACTGACCCATTTTTATGGCTATCAGTATCAGTTTACTTATCATTTTGTAATGTTTACCAGCCAAAAAAGATCTGGTGTGCCCATATTTGGACACACAATATGCATTTACAAAAATAACACCTGACACTTATGAGTTGAATAATATTAGTAAGAGCTTTATTTACTTTTTTTTTGAGTTGGAGTCTTACTCTGTCGCCCAGACTGGAGTGCAGTGGCCGCTCCCGGCCACCGCAGCCTCGACCTGCTGGGCTCCGGCGATCCTTCCGCCTCAGCCTTCTGAGTAGCCGGAATTATAGGCATGCGCTACCACGCCCGGCTGATTTTTAGATTTATTGTAGAGATGAGGTCTCGCTGCCCAGGCGGGTCTCGAACCTGCCGGCTCAGGCAATCCACCTCACCTCAGCCTCCCAAAGGCGCGGGATTACAGGCTGAGCCACCGAGCCCGGCTATTTACTATTTTTTTGAGTCATAGTCTCACTCTGTCGCCCAGGTTAGAGTGCAGTGTCCTATCAAAACGATCACAGCTAACAGCAGCCTCGACCTCATGGGTTCAGGTCACCCTTCCTCTTCGCATCCTAAGTAGCTGGGACTACAGGCACGTGCCACCATGCCTGCCTAATTTTTTGACTTTTTGTAGAAACAAGTTTCCTTATGTTGCCCAGGCCTGTCTTGAACTCCTGGGCTCAAGAAATCCTTGGCTTCCCAAAGTGCTGGTATTTCAGGCATGAGTCACTGTACCTGGCCATATTAACATTTTAGAGTTGACCTGCAGAACATGCCTCTGGAGTTAGCAGAATTGATGCCATTATATTAAATTTTCAACTGAGAAAATGAGGTCTCAGAGAGGTTCAGGGGCTTAAATAATTCTTTTTCTCCCTCTCACATTCTAGGCTGTCTCCCAATTAGATCAAGATGTCCTAGAATTTTCTAAAACGAATACATTTAACACACTTCAGCAAATACATTTTTAAATGGCCATTCAATGAGATTTTGAATAGTGGTCACAGATACATTAGTAGTGATAAAAACTTGTAGCTAGCTTTATTTCCACAATTCCAGGATACCACAAACCATAGTCAAGAAATCAGTAAACTTTGAGCAAAAGCAGGGATTTGAGGTTCAATTCTATCCCTCAGGGCTGTGAGAGCTTGACCAAGCCACTTAATTCTCAAGTCTCACTTTCTCAGCCAAAAATATTGAAGGCAGGTCTTGCTGTGAGGATGAAATGATAAGGATGGCCCTTTGTAAAGTGTAAAGCAATGCACAAATGAAGAAACAACAAGCAGAAGGTTCCCAACTCAAAGACCATAAGTTCTGTTTAGAAAAGAAAACAGCAATTGCAGAGATCTGAGGCTATATTCTGTGATCAAGAAAAGGTATCCCATCCACGTCTCCATCAGAAATATTGCAGACCGGTAAGTCTGTTCTGACCAAAATAATTTCATTCATTAAGAAAACAGTTCATTTTGAGAACCAATTAACTGGTGGGCCTAAGTGCCAGGCCCTGGGATATAATGGTGGGCAAGATAAATGTAGCCCCTGCCTTTGTGGAAATTACTCCCATGCGGGAGAACACTCACCCAAACACTACTTAGTGGTTAAGTTGACAGGGAGAGTTCACGTTTTTCTCTAGAGGAAGGTCTCCAGAGTGCTGTGTGGTTTTATGACTCAGGCTGTGGGCAGCAGCTTATGTAGATCTACATAAACAATCTCTGCAAATAGCTGACCCAAGAAGTTGTGGCCTAATGTCCCGGCAACACACATGTCGCCGCACTCAGAGCATATTCCAGGAACTGTCTGTCTTAGATGCTAAGGAGTGATTTCAAAGCCAAGTGCACTTTGTTCTTCTTGGTTTTTATTATAGTCTCATACACTGTCAGCATCTATTTTAAATTTACAGGCTATGGTGAAAATGTGGTTCCTTTATGCATGTTTTTCTGTGATGTGAAGTGTTATTTATTTAGCACTTTTTTCATGGGATCCCAAAATATTGTGCTTTCAAATGGTCTCCTCAGAAACAATCACTGCATAAAATTTCCAAGTAAGTGGAGGAATATAGACTCCCCAAAGTCAATACCTAAAAAAGATTCCAGATTCAGAACCTATTTATATAGCAAGAAAATTTATTATTCTTATTTTGCAGGTGGAAAAATGAAAGAGCTAAGAGATGATGGCCACATAGAAAAAGTGAAAAGGGCCGGGCATGGTAGGATATGCCTGTAATCCCAGCACTTTGGGAGGCCAAGGCGAAAGGCTTTCTTGAAACTAAGAGTTTGAGACCAACCTGGGAAAGACAGTGAGACCTCATCTCTACAAAAAAAAAAAAAAAAAAAAAAAGGCTGGGCATGGTGGAGCACACCTGTAGTCCCAGGTACTTGGGAGGCTGAGGCAGAAGGATCACCTAAGCCCAGGAGGTCAAGCTGCAGTAAGCCATGATAGTGCCACTGTTCTCCAGCCTACAGAGTGAGACCACAACTGAAAAAGAAACGAAAAGAAATGAAAGAAAAAGCAAAGCAAAGGCAAAAAGAGAATGAAAATTAAGAGATGTATGTCTTCTAGAGTCATCTGTCTCATCAAGGGGTCTTCCTTTTCATTTGAATTTGATGGTTCCAATCTTTCATCTATAAGTTATGGAGCAGAGTTTGCCACAATAAACACATTAAAATTATAAGAATCTGGCTTTTCCTAGCATTCTTCTCTTTTAGGATGCTGAGGATACACTTCTAAACTCTGCATATTCCCTGTTCCCCTGCATCTTTAGAAATTACAGGGATAGGTGAAATTGGGCGTGTCTATTTCCCATCATTTCTTCCTTTGTGTCTAACAGAGGAGGTCTTATAATCTCCCTGTTTTCACAAAGTATTGTGTGACTGCTTGCTTATCTGTTTGCTCTCCTTGAGGGTAGGGGTAGATCCTGAAGCTGTGGTTTCCACATGCCTTCCCTAGTGCCTGGCAAACAAGAGGCACTTAATAAATGTTTGTTAAATGAAAGGACAAATGACAGAATTCACTTTACTTCTGCAATTTTCTGCTTTTTGCCTGTGTATCTCTGGTACCTAGCTCACAACATAGGCAAGTAACTCCTTCAGTGTCTGTGGGAGGAATGACAATCATGACACGGCTGTGACCACATTGGCAACTTACATCTGACACTTGTCACATGTGCCCTGTGGGACTAGCCAGGCACAGTGGCTCACGCCTATAATCCTAGCACTTTGGGAGGCCAAGGCAAGATCAGTCTGGGCAACTTGGTAAGACCTCATTTCTACAATAAACTAAAAAAATATTAGCTAGGTGTGGTGGCGCGTGCCTGTAGTTCCAGCTATTCAGAAGGCTGAGGCCAAAGGATCACCTGAACTCAGCAGGTTGAGGCTGCAGTGGCTGTGAGCATGCCACTGTACTCTAGTCTGGGTGACAAAGTGAGACTCCAATTCCAAAAAAAAAGAAAAAAATACTTGTTGACTGATTGTGATTTTAACACCCCTCCTGAGCAATTGATTCCTTGTTTTAATACTCTCTCAGGAGGTTTTCCATGCTGACATTCCATTTCATTATTTTCCATAATTGATTATGTGATATTTTTTGTATCTTAAAATTGATGAGTATGCAGCTTCACAGTGATTTGGATGTCATAGTTTTTATGTAGTTCCATGAATAAAAGGATAAAGTAGATGTGATGGCCAACTTGTTCGCTATCTCAGATAAAAAATGTTGGCAATTTTGATTTTCTTTTTTTTTTGTGTCAAAGTCTCACTTTGTTGCTCAGGTTGGAGGGCATTGGCAAGATCACAGCTCACTGCAGCCTTGACCTCCTGGGCTCAGGTGATCCTTTCACCTCATCCTTCCAAGTAGTGGGGACTATAGGCACACACTACTGCCCTCAGTTAATTTTTTTTTACTTTTTATTTTTATTTTTTTGTAGAGATGAGGTCTCTATTTCCTAGGCCTGTCTGAAGCTCCTGGACTTGAGCAATCCTTCTGCCTTGGCCTCTCAAAGTGCTGGCATTACAGGTGTGAGACACATGCCTGGCAAGATTTCTTAATATATTATTTTTATTCTAAAGTTGTGGGGCACAATTCAGGGTTAAGAGCATAAGTGGTCATTGTACACGTAAATTTTGGGTACCCTGATTGGTGTTATGTGCCTCCCCCATCCCCAGCAGTGTC